AAGGTTTAAGGTTTAGGGTTTGGGGAGCATGGCTTGAGCTCTGCCATGATCTGAGCTCCCGGCCCCGTGGCTTCCCGCCACTGCTGCCCCGCACCGCAGGCCGCAGCAGCCGCCGCAAAGGCGACAACATCCGGCTCTGGCCCGATACGCGACATGAACCTCACTCTGCTTGGAGGTTCATGGGTAGNNATAAGTGGAGTTATAAGTAAGGTAACTATAGTTATAACCCATATTAGGGGACTCATAACCCCACTTATAACTACCCTTGAACCTCCAAGTGGGACTTCCACCAAGGGCCCAAACCCTAAACCCTAAACCGAGAAGACTAAGTAGCAGTGCGGGGCGAGGTGGGCTGGGGATATGCTCCGGGACCTGAAAAAGCGACCTCGACGGTTTTTCTGCTCTCGGCCCGTGGGGTTGAACAAACAGCGCGCACGTCTACCGGAACAGCAGATCATCCACACCCTAAACCCTAAACCCTAAACCCTAAAACCTAAACCCTAAAACCCTAAACCCTAAACCCCACCATTGGCTCTGTCCTGGCATGCCTCCAAGAAGCCTTAGCATGTCGAGAGCTGATGTCCACCGCTGGCCCTTGGGTGCTGCAAGGAAGCACTGAAGCTGGGGGTCCGGATCCAAAGTCGCTAACTTGAACCGTGGCAGTGCTGAATCTTGTTTTCTCTCTATCAGACAGGCAGCAAGTATGCACATCCAGGAAAGCACCCCACTGAATGCAAGAAAAGCCGCCTTTTCACAAGCACTTACAGCGGCGCTGCAAGCGATCGCGTTGGGCTCGTGTCCCGCCTGGAAAGGTCCAGGCATATCGAGACAGTTCTTGGCGCCGACGACAGGCATCAGTGCACGCTCCAGGCATGAACGGTCTTGCGTCCTGTTGAAAACCCACACCTGTCCGAAACCCCTTTGCGATATTATATGCTTTTGAATTGTATTGTATGGTACTGTAGTGTACCGTATGGTAATGTACGGTAGTGAATTAGGTTATACTTACCCTATCTTATCTTCTTTTACAGTATCTTATATTTTACTGTAATATATGATATGATAGTATGTTATCTCGTATTGTGACTGATTTATAAAATTTCGTTCTATTACATTGTAACGCCTTGTACACATTATGCTATATTGTGCTTTGCTTTTTCATTAGTTCGTAGTAAGTTACATTAAACTATACTAGGCCCTGTTGAATATATATTATATTGCAGTACATTTGATTGTATTGTATTAAACTACTTATTGTATCGCATAGTCTATTATCTTGTGTTACAGTGTATTCTATTGTAATATACTGTATTAGATAGCCTTATATTGTAATATGTTATACTGTACGATACCGTACTATACTTTATAATACCGCATTATCTTGCACAAATACTATGCTATACTATACGCTGTTATGTTTTGTCGTACTATGTTGTATTATGACATACTATGTTGTATTATGTTATATTATGTTACATTGTTTTTGCTATAGCATATTAGGTTATAGTAGATAACATTATACTGTACTGGGATTATTGTTATCTACTACATTCTCTTGAACTGTTCTAAGTTATGTGTTCTAGATTATGCTATATTATATTTTGTGCTGATGGTAACCGTACCTATATTCTGTTGTACTAGATTACATTACATCACATTACGTCACATTACATTATACTGTAATATACTAGATTGTGTTTCTTGTTGCTGCATTTTGGATCCCAGGCCTGGCGGAGCGCCTCGAGAAGGAGAAGGGCAGCGGCAGCATCGGCGCCCTTCTCACAGCAGCTGATGGAGCTGCTGTAGCTAACTAGGGAAGGCTCCATAGTTGCGTCCTGCGTGCATGTGCAGCTGGGTCAACGCTGCCGTCGACAGGATCACTGACAGACGGATTAGCACCTGAAAATTCAACCATCACGAGGGAGCAAGTGCTGAAACGAAACATATAAGCCACAACAAGCAGCACGTGTCAGTGGTGCTGCTACTACTTGTACAGATACTGCGACTTCGATGTTGCCCTGCTGCTGCAACTGCTACTGCGACTGCGACAACGAGTTCTATTGCTCTGCCACTCCTACTCCTACTGCGAGTGCACGTACACCTAACTGCAACAATGACTACTACCGCTGCTACTACTATTACTACTACT